TCTGGTTCCATAGCTGCACACTGTCGACTCCTGATCCTGCTTCCTTCAGAGGGTGGTTTTACAGAATCAAATGGTCTATGCAAATGGAAAAAAAAAATTGCAAAAGGCAAATTATACCATCAAGATGTGAGTTACCACACTTAGACCCCAGCCAGGACTGAGGCCCTTTGTAAACTGGCAAGTCCTATAAAAATGCTAGTCCTTCACCTCTCTCCTCTGGAGGTTGAAAGTATTGGGGTGATGCTACAGACAATGGATATTTGGCTGACTGTCCTGGTCACAGACTGAGGCGATGTCTTTGGGGTGGTATTGGGATTTCCTGGCTTGAGAGTGAGTTGTTGGTGGTTAAGTGGCCAGAGTCCCTCCTGGAGACAGACTCTGAAACCACAGACAAGGCCTGAGGTGACCATGGCAGATAAGGGCCCAGGTGCTGATTCAACAGTGATCATCCCTCCTCTTGAGCATCCCTTTACAGCTTTGGCCATGGAACTTCAGAAAATGGAAGCCTGCTTTGTGGGGAGGGAAAGATCTTTAAGGATAGTAAGCTTAGTGCAATAAAGTTAGAATAAAGTTAGAATTTTCAGGCAAGAGAATGAAAAACAAACAAACTAACAAACCTATAATCTTACCCCCAGAGATAACCACTGTTGACATTTCAGTGTTTGTTTTTCCACACATTTTTTCCCATTGCACATATATATTGAAAAATTAGATCATACTGTAATATGTTTTTTATTGTTTGTTTGTTTTTTTGCGGTACACGGGCCTCTCACTGCTGTGGCCTCTCCCGTTGCAGAGCACAGGCTCCGGACGCACAGGCTCAGCGGCCACGGCTCATGGGCCCAGCCGTTCCGCGGCATGTGGGACACGAACCCGTGTCCCCTGCATCGGCAGGCGGACTCTCAACCACTGCGCCACCAGGGAAGCCCTGTAATATGGTTTTATTACTGGTTCTTTTCACTTAATGACATGTCATGAATGTATTTCCATATCAACAGATGTTTTATCACATCATTTAAAGGCTGCAGAATGTCTCTTTGTATGGATGGAGCAGAATTTATTTAATAAGTGTCCTACTATTGGATAATTAGGCAGTTTTCAATTTTTAACCATTAGAGCCGTGCTTTCTACCCAAATCTTGGCACAGGTCCTGGATTATTTCCACAGGATAAATTACCAGTGGGGGAACTGCTGAATCAAGGTTATGTATATTTTAAGGCCTTTGATAAACACTAAAGGTCTGCTTCTGACACACTCTGGAATTCAGGGGCTCCTCAAAGCTCAACGCAGAAAATTTCATGGCCTCAAAGTCAGCCTTGAGCCTTCCTCTCTCTCAAATCCATTTGCAGGGATAATGCAACCACCTCATATATAGTCTTTACTGGGTGCCAGGCTCTGTCTAAGAGCTTTACCCTCTGAGGCACCACTTTTACCTTCCTCTTCAGAAGAAAGTGAAGAACAGAGAGGTTAAACAGTTCACTTGGAATCACAGCCCTAACAAGCAGTGTGTTGGGGGTCAGTAGCCTTGACAACCTGGTTCTAGAATCTGTGCTGTCCACTGCTTCTTGGAAAGTATATTTGATTTGCATCTGCAAAGATATCTTTCACACATCCCTTTGATCTTCTACACCAACGCCTCACATGCATCAAGCTCCACCATCCCAACCTGGACCACGGCTAGAGCCCCTAACTGGTCTTCCATTTCCACTCATCCCTTTCACTCTGTCTTCTGCTCTGCAGCTGGAATGTTGCTTTAAAAATGGAAATAGGGGCTTCCCTGGTGGCGCAGTGGTTGAGAGTCCGCCTGCCGATGCAGGGGACACGGGTTCGTGCCCCGGTCTGGGAGGATCCCACACGCCGCGGAGCGGCTGGGCCCGTGAGCCGTGGCCGCTGAGCCTGCGCGTCCGGAGCCTGTGCTCCGCAACGGGAGAGGCCGCAACAGTGAGAGGCCCGTGTGCCGCAAAAAAAAAATGGAAATAGGATCGGGTCACCCCCCCACCCCCCAACCCTGCCGGCCAGCACATACATACACACACGCTCAGCCCTAGAATAAAACCCAGATGCATTCCCCAGCCTCCAGGGCAGCCTCTCTGGCTTCTTCCTAAAAGCCACTTCCCCATCCATACCCACCCACTACACCCCAGTCACCCGGCCTCCTTTCACTTCCTCAACGACAGAGCTTTTTCTCACCTTAAGGCTTTGGCACATGCTGGTCCCTTGAGCTCGAATGCTTTTCTTCCATCCTGCAGGGCTGGATTCTTCTCATCCTCTGGTCTTGGCTTTCCTATCACCTCTCTGGAGAAAGCTTCCCTGGTGATCTCACCTGAAGCAACAAGTCCCCTAAGCCCATTTTCCTTTTTGTCCTTTATAGTATTAATTAAAATTGTGTATTTATTGCCCATCACTCATTAAATGTCTCTTTTCCCTCACTAGACTCTAAATGTCATGAGGTCAAAGACCATGTCTATTTTGTTCCCCATTATTTACCCAGTGCGCAGCACAGCACCTGGCATGTGGCGAGCTCTCATTAACTCAATGACTGCTCGTAGAAAGGACGAATTGTCCACAGAAGGAGGCATTCATTGGCGAGGATCTTTGGCAAAACTATCCGAGCTTCAGCCAGAGCTGTTCCATCCTCCTCCTGCATGTCTTCACTTCCTCTTCCCTGTCCCGAGGCAGTGACAGAGGTCTAGGGTCTAGAAGGAAACCAGGAAGCCATGGGTGAGAATGTAAGCAAGTTTTGCTTCAGGCGCCAACTCAGTCAGGGTAGATGATGTCATATCGGGTGCACAAGGGAGACTCATTACCCCCAAGTCCCCCCTGCACGGTTCCTGGATTCCTACCATGACAGACTTCTGGCCACGAGGAATCTCCTAGTGAGAGGCAAACACTCACTATCCAGTTAATAACACACATCCAGCAGGTGGACTGAATGGCTGAGGGCTCTACCTTTCTGACAGCAGCATGGTGGTGGCCTGGAAGTCCAGGTGTCACCACTAACTAGTGGGTGACCTTGGGTGAGAGTCACTTCTTGCCTCCCATCTGCAAAGTGAGTGGTTAGGATGAAGAGGTTTTTAAACTTCTTTTTCCTCAGAAGCTCAAGCCTTCCACTTGTTCAGATGACCAATACAAGTCAAGTGTTTCTGGTTGAAACAGGGATGCGGGGCTGGAGCGGTCCTTCTCCCTGACTCCCGCTTTTAAGCCCCAAGGGTGGTGCGAGGGCTGAGTCTTGGACTCCAAGATGTCAGCGGTCAGTGCCTGCCAGGCTGACCATCTGTGTCATCTAAGGACAAAGAAGGCAGCCGGGCTCGCATGTTCTGGGTGTAGCTCCTTGGGCACATTAAGTGATTGGAAGGGGATGGGAGAGGACTTGTGGAATCTGATATTCAGAGAGTATTCAGGGACTTTAGGCTGTGCCGCAGGTGAATTTCATAGCAATTGAAGGGCAGGGCAGGCAGCCCCTTTGTTTGAGAAGGTTTCAGCCATTTTAGAAAAGAAATGAGGGCCCAGGAGAGAGGAAGCCCAGAAGGCTCACTTACCCTCTCCACAATCTAGAAGGAAATTGCCACCCCTGCCCTTCCAGGCCAGGGATCCCAGGTCTTGAAGAGACCGCCCACAGTCTCACAGATAACTTGGCTTCCAGGGTTGGTTGTTTGCCACACCCCAGGGGAACACGGGTCCCTCACCTCACTACCCACCAACTGGGTAGCTCTCTGGCCTTCGCTGCAGGCAGGTGCACTCAGGAGACTGCCGCCTGGGCTACCTGGCAGCTTCAGGTGCTATGTGTATGCTGCTATGGAGACGGGCCCCGGGGTTGGTGGTGAGAAGGCAGTCTCCCAAAGCTTTGCAGATTCTGGAGGGGAAGAGGCTGGAGCCTCAGGCCCTTCAGGGTAGTCTGCCTGACAGCCGTAGTGCCAAGGAAGGCCAGGTGGGTGCTCTGGGAGTTTCTAGGACAAAGTGAGGGTGGGGAGGTGCCAGGGGAGGCCAAATCTTGGGAGGAGGCTCTGGAAGGGCTGATCTGGGCAGGGGAGCCTCTCCATGTTTCCAGGTCAAGGGGAAAAGCCTTCCCAGAGGGCCCCTTGCCAGGCCAGTGCAGTGCCCTGCACAAAGACTGGGCCAGTGGCACTGAGAATTGGCCCTGCAGCCCAAGGGCAGGAGGGAGAGAGGGCCTGGCATTTGCCCCCAGAGGAGGGAGAGACCAGGGAATTCACAAAGCCCATCTCTGGGCTAGTCAGGATCCGAGGCAGCAGGGAAGGAAATATTTGCCCTGTAGCAGGAAGCACTGACTGTGGCTCCTCTCCCTCTCCCTGGAGCCCAAGAGGCCAAGGGCGATCACGTGCAGCACAAGGAGCATTTTTATCCATTTCCAAAGCCAGGGTGCCGTCTCCTCGAGGGAGCTCGATGATCGTGGGGTGCCTGAGGCCTGGGCCCGGTAGAGGGGTTGCTGCAGGAGCACCTCACCTAATTCTACGGCTTAGGGACTGGGTGATCTGAAACAATCGCTTCATTTTTTTTTTTAATTTTTATTGGGGTATAGTTGATTTACACCTGTTAGTTTCAGGTGTACAGCAAAGTGAATCAGTTATACATATACATATATCCATCCTTTTTTTAGATTCTTTTCCCATATAGGCCATTACAGAGTATTGAGTTTCCTGTGCTATATAGTAGGTCCTTATTAATTATCTATTTTATATATAGTAGTGTGTATATGTCAATCTCAATCTCTCAATTTATCCATCCCCACCTTACCCCCTGGTAACCATAAGTTTGTTTTCTACATTTGTAACTCTATTTCGGTTTTGTAGATAAGTTCATTTCACTTCACCTTTTGAACCTAAGTTTCTTCATCTGTGAAATGTGGGCGATAATACCTTTTAACAACCCACAGGACACAGCCTAGGGCCAATACAGGCACGGAGCTTAATGGGTGTTCCTTTGCTCCTTTTCCCTTTCTGCTAGGACGTCTCCTGCCAGACCTCCCAGTGTCTGGTCTGAGGATGGCGGAGAAGCAGGGCCGGGAGCCGGAGTGCCCTGTGTGCTGGAACCCCTTCAACAACACGTTCCACACCCCCAAAGTGCTGGACTGCTGCCACTCCTTCTGCCTGGAATGCCTGGCCCACCTCAGCCTGGTGACTCCGGCCCGGCGCCGGCTGCTGTGTCCGCTCTGTCGCCAGCCCACTGTGCTGGCCTCTGGACAGCCTGTCACTGACTTGCCCACAGACACTGCCGTGCTCACCCTGCTCCACCTGGAGCCCCACCACATCATCTTGGAAGGCCGCCAGCTCTGTCTCAAAGATGAGCCCAAGAGCCGCTGCTTCCTGCGCCAGCCCTGGGCCTACACGCTGGAACTCGGCCCCGGGCCTGGGAGCCAGACTGGGCCCCCCCGGGACGTGGCCCCTACCACCAGCCCCAGCCCCATCCCCAGCCCCAACCACGACTCTCTGAGGGGGTGTTTCCGCAACCCGCAGTTCCGGATCTTTGCCTACCTGCTGGCTGTCATCCTCAGCATCACTCTGTTGCTCATCTTCTCCATCTTCTGGACCAAGCAGTTTTTTGGGGGTGTGGGGTGAGCATCTGTTCCAGACAAAGAACCAAGCCTTTCTTGGTTGCTGCTGGGTGTGAGGACTGCAGAGCCTCATTTGGGGTCGTCTTCCTTTGTAGTATTGTTCTTTTTTACAATCCAGGGATCGGCTAGGCTGTGCGTCTGCTTCTGGGAACGGAGACAGTCCTGCTATAATGAGAACCTCTGAAAGCTAATGGGAAAAGATATGAAGAGAGCGCTGGGTGTGAACCACAGGTCATGGAAGGGCCAAGAAGCAGATCTGTGATGCCAGGGCTACGTAGCATGTTGTACCAAAGGGCTGGGCGATGGCATCCAGGAACCTGACCCACTCAGACAGCAAGCTGCAATTCTTACTGGAGCTGCTTTGAACTCAGTTCACATTTTTTGGAGTTGCTCACTCTATTATTTCTTGCTAAAAAATTTGGAAAGTGAACTTCAATTGTGAGCAAATGTGTCTGTCTTCCCCTTTCAGTTTTCTCTTTGGATGTTTTGCCACCAGTCCCAGTAAGAATGGCCTGCATTCATTAATTCATTCACTCACTCATTCAACAACCAGTTGGCTGGTCCTCTGTCAGAACTAGGGGGAGAGAAGGGTAGGATGAGCCAGGGGTGGCAGAGTCCTTACCAGCAAGGAGGGCACATCCACTCAGCTGCTTCTTGTACAAGACGACCTCTTGTCAGTGCGTGGTTTATGGAGTGTTAAGAGCAGAAAAGTTTAAAGGTGAAAGAAACCAGAGTCAGTGATCAAAAGAAATCTGGGATTTGGAGGAAAAGATTTTTATTCCTCCTGGTAGGTGAGGGGTGGAGCTCTGATTCCCCTTCTCCAACCATTGTAATTCTGGCCTTGAGAGGTAAGGCAGGGAATTTCCTGGTGGCCCAGTGGTTAGGACTCTGTGCTTCCACTGCAGGGGGCACGGGTTTGATCTCTGGTCGGAGAACTAAGATCCCACGTGCTGTGTCGCATGGCCAAAAAAGAAAAAAAAAAGACATAAGGCAGAAACCCCGGATAGAGTAAGAGCCTTCGTTCCCATCCGAGGCCATGCAGGCAGGGGATTCCGGTTTTCATTTTACATGACGGAATCTAGGAACCAAGGAAAACTAGATAGAATTTGGATGCTGCTTGACTACAGGTTGCCACCTCTGCAGTATCTAAAACCCTGATTTCCTCACTTTTAATACTGCCTGGTGGCTCAGGGCTCTGAAACAATCTCAAAGCGGTTAAAACACCATCACAGAAAGATAACATTTTGTTTTGGGGGATTTGTAGAATAAGCTTTCAGAGGCCAGACACTGGTTTTATTTGCTCTAAATAGCATTTTGTAAGTTTAATGAAACCAGCTTCTATAAACTCTTAGGGGTCTTAATGTACAAGATATTCCAAAATAGTCAAGACGTGCATACTTCCTGTTTAGTAAAACCAAACAGTCTTAAGCTCCCCTGTGAAGAAAAACTTCTCCATTATGAAATTGGAAAGCCGCCTACCTATCCTGCCAGGGGACTAGCATCTACCGCTCCATTTGCACCACTGAAGATAATTATACTAAGGCTGGGACTGGATGTCTCCTCACTGACTTCATTTCTTTACACATCCTTGCTCCTTAACTCTTGTGCTGGGTAAATTAGGCAATGATTTCACCATGCTCTCAGAGCCAGTGAGGAACAGAGAGGAGCCGGGGGAAGTTCAGGGAAGAACACTTGCCTCTGTACTTGGGACCACTGCTCCCGAGTTAAGCAGGCTTCGTCACAGACGAAATTGATGCTCCCCAAGTTTAGTTACCTTGTTCAAGGTCACCCAGCTAGCATGTGGTGGAGGCCTTTCAGTCAAAATAGAACACTCTTGGAGTGGCTGATTCACCAAACAAGACACAGCTTTGAGTCTTCTGGGATAGGGAAGGATACAGTTAACATTGTGGCATCTTCTGTCTTCACATTCAATAGTTCTAACTTTGGGCAGTGCCATCCTTCTAGAGAGCATTTAGGAATCTTTGGTACCCCAATGCAGGGGTGGGTTGTGCTTCTGGCTGTTAGTACCTCAGAGATCAGAGATGCTAAGACATGCTGCAATGCTGAAGACATTTCTACACAACAAAGTATCATCTGTCCCAAGATGCAAATAGTTTCCTGTTGAATAACACTATAGGCTCCTTGCAAGTTCACAAGGCAGAAGTGGTAAAATTAACTCCCTTTGGCATGAAGTCAGAGTAAGAGATGCAGTGACTCCTCAAAAGGGCAGTATAAATGGTAGAGTGGGCTTTCCCGGTAAGTGGTCTGAGGTGACCAAGAGGTTCAAATCTTCACGTTCACTTTAAGAACACTGGTGAAACCGTCCAGGCCATTAAGGGTATGCACATCCGAAAAGCCAACAAGTATCTGAAGGATGTCACTTTACAGAAGCAATGTGTGCCATTCCATCATTACAATGGTGGAGTTGGTTAGGTGTGCCCAGGCCAAACAGTGGGGATGGATGCAGGGTCAGTGGCCCAAAGAGTGCTGAACTTTTACTGCACATGCTCAAAAATGCAGAGAGTAATGCTGAATTTAGATGCAGATTCTCTGGTCATTGAGCACATTCAGGTGAACAAAGCCCCCAAGGTACAGTGCAGGATTTACAGAGCTCATGGTCGGTTCAACACATATATGAGCTCTCCCTGCCACACTGAGATGATCCTTACTGAAAAGGAACAGATTGTTCCTAAACCAGAAGAGGAGGTTGCACAGAAGAAAAAGATATCCCAGAAGAAACAAAAATTTACGGTCTGGGAATAAATGCTGCAAAAAATAAATGCAAAGTTTAAAAAAAAAAGGTGGAGCACTTAAAAATTTCAGACTTTGTACAGGGAACAGGCCATGCTGGCTGGACTTTTTTTTTTTGGTCTGGCCCATGTTGCCAACATACTCAGTAAAGTCCTATGAAATCTCTTATAAGGTCACAGACGGACCAGACTCTACCATTTACTAACTAGGTAACCTGGAACAAGTTACTTAACTTCTTTGAACTTCAGTTTTGTTTTAAAAGAGGGAATAATAATTAACTTGTAAGACTGTGAGGATTAAACAAGATGTCTGAATGTGCCTGGTGGTGTCTAGACAGCAGTAAGCGTCCTGTTAAGTGATGACGATGACGTTTGTCTCACCGTTAGCATGAAATGACACACTTGGGATATGCTCCTCAGCTAACAGCTTTTGGACAATGATACTCCCAGTAAGGAAGTGTATATCCTGCCAAGACATTCGTCTGGCCAAAGGCTTAGATGAAATCTTTTCACCCAGTTGCTACCCCTCTAGATCTCTTGGAACCACCCACTCCCCCGCAAAACAAAAGACAAGTTTAATGGAACAAGTGGTTAAATTTCAACTTGAAAAACCGAAAACCTTTAACACACTATATTTGAAAAGTGCACGCTAATACACTAACATTCAGTATTAGTTTAAACACACTACAAAGGTAGTAATGAAAAATAATTTCTTTTCATGGCTAACTATGGAGGAAATAGAGCCCATTAATACTTAAACAACAGTGAAGTGCCCAACACAGTAGAGCTGATAATCCAGAAGCTTAACAGGTACACAGGATATGCAACTACTTGGTTATAATTGAAATCAGATTAAACAGACTATTTAGCTACATATCACACATTCCTAGTTATGCACGATAGAGACAGACAAAGTCACTCTCATCCTCCCTGGAACAGCAAAGGAAAAGTGTTTTGAACATTCAAGGAGAAGCCATCATATAAGCCCTTCTTGAATTCTCTATACACAATCCTTTCTTCTTGCCAATTCCTCTATTTTTTGTGTGAATTTATTGTGTATTTCCAGAGTTCAGTGGTTGTATACCTGGGGTGGAAAGAGCTGAAAGTAACTGCTGCTTGGCCAATGAATAAGAATTAGAGAGTCCAGATACAGTTCACTGGTAGTCTCGCCCACAATGCAACAGCCCTCCATTTTTTAAAAAAATTACTAACAGAATGCTTACTAAGGAGACAGAATTGGAGTACGCCATACTTGAGATCATTTGCTATATCTCAAACTAAAAAAAAAGGGACCTCTGTGGACCAATGCCTAGGATTCAGAAAATGCTTAACTATATATACAAGATAATTCTTTAAAGGGCAGTTTTTTAAATAGGATTTTACTCTTTAGCAAGTGTATAAGAAAGAAAAAGTTTATGTTTAGGAATACCCATTAGGGATTTTTTTCCAGAGTTACCTCGACATGAAGGGTACATCCTTTAAATAACCAATAGAAAAGAACTTGCACAATAGAGACATCATGTTTGCTTTCTAAAAATTTCATTGAATCTTGACACAATGGCCTAGCTTTTGGGTAACACAAAGGATGCCAAACTTGAAAGCAAAATGGAAGACATCTTCTGACGAGGAAAATGTTCAGTTCTGAGCTTCCCAATGCAGTTAGCATTCCAAGTGAACTCAAGAGGAAGAGGTAAAATATTCTCTACTGCAGAACCCTGAGCATAGCTGTGGTCTACCTCTTCACCTTCTGTTCTCAGGGTTCTTTGCTCTGTCAGGCAAGTTTAGCCAGTGCATGGTGAGGTGTGTCTCTCTACTCAAGGGCTTCCAGAGTATAGTCCAGCCACCTTGCTCTCTGAGTCACATGTAGTCCTGAAGCATGTACCATGTAATGGAAAGCCAAGTTTCAAGAATTAAAAATAGAGTCAGTCACAATCCGGAGTGCTGTGAGGGAAGCAATAGGGCATTCAAACAAAAGATTAATAAAAACAATGTCTACAAAGTTCATGGCAGGGCCTGAAGATGAAAATTAAAATTTCAACCATGAAAGGGGTTCACCAACACCCAGGGACTGGGCTGCCTGCTTGAAGTGGGAACTGACATGGAAATCCAATTCTTTTGAGGATCTATATACATGGTAATTAGCAAAATACATGATAGAACAAAACACATCAATTCCTTTCCTTTGAAAATGGCTCTAAAGAGAGAGTGAGGCTAGAATCCATCTTCCATGGTCCTGCCTATTCAGCCATCCAGAGCTTGAAGGTCCTGTCATATGAGCAAGTGGCTATGAGCTGCCCATTGGAAGAAATGTCTAGGCCCATCACTTTGCCTTCGTGGCCGGCCAGAGTCTTCAGTGGCGACCAGCCTGGGTGGGTCCAGATCTTGGCTGTGTTATCATAGGCACCAGTAAGCAAGAAATTCCCATGGATAGCTACAAAAGAAAAGGGGAGTTGCTTCAGGAATTCAAGTACTCAAAAGAGCATAAGAAAATAAAAGACCCCAAATCTGCTAGAACATACTATTTTGAAAAAGAAGCTATCTACATTCAGAAAAACTCAACACTCTGATCTGTATTCCTACTAGACCTCTACGAAAAAGAAGACAACTACAGGCAGACTTAGGGAAACAAATAACATTATTAAGGTCTTCTGGCTCTTTC